GATGACAGAAATAGACTGAGATACTCTTACATTTGTCTCCATTGGCATTTCAGAATAGATATAAAGATCTCAAACTGTGCTTAAATTTACCAAGATAATAAAGTCTTTACACTTTATGAGATTACAAGTTATAATGTCTACTAATCTTGTCTATTGATAATTACTGTGTTTTAGATCAATTGAGTTACAGAACTAAATATTTTTGTCTTTTCTTCCTACATGTGGTGTAGCTCCAGGAGGATATGGAGGATATCCACAAGCATATCCAGGTAGCCTTTTATAGAAATAATCCCGGGCTTAATTCATATTGTATCTTTATACGAAATTCAGCCCCTCTGTATCAGACTAGTATATTTCCAGTTCAAAGAGCCATTTCTCGTTTCATAAAGGCCTCAGTAGTCTTTAGCTCCAAGTTTATAACAGAGGATCAGCAGATGTGTCATAGAGGACAGGAACAGAACTGCTGCTTAGTTGGAAGATATAGTTTTATTCACACATATACAGTACTGTGGTGCTCGAATGACTGTACAGTCACCGCTGTGCTTTTAAGGCAGATAATCACAGCACATTCACTGCTGTTCTGATGCAGGAATGGGTTTGTGGCTACATCGCAGACAGAGAGGCGACAGAGTAAGAAAGCCCTGACATTTCCTTTAGTTTCTAGAGAAACAGAGCAGGAAATCTACCATCCTTCACTTCAGAGGTCTAGACAAAAGCCCCTCTCACGCATACAGTCTTTACTGGTAAATTACCGTTAAGAGATCATGTGTGAACAGGACCTTTTCAAAAATACCGGTAAATTTGTTCTGGAAATTAGCCGGTATGAGAAGTTGTAACATTACCAGTAAATTACGGTAATGTGCTCTGTGTGAATGCAGAACGAGATTAGAGGTATGAGCTCGTATGAGTTCAGAATGCGCTGACGTAAGCCGTTGACTCTGGGCCAATCAGAACATTCTGATGCAGATGACGCGTTTACTCTGCGCTGTGTAGTTCGGTCTGAAGTCGTGTAATGTGATGTCTCTGGGCCAAAAGTGCTGCATGAATGTGAACATTTGACACAAAAAATGAAAACATTAACAAAAACACTGAGCGCGTTTGCCCCTCTATGATTACAAGCTCAACACTGGGACGCGCAGCCGTTTAGAGGTCATTTCGGGTTAAAGGTGTCACAGAATTTACCGGTATATTGAAACTGATGTGTGAATGGTGCTTTTGTATTTACTGATAAAGTTGTTCTGGTAATTTTACAGCAATTTACTGGTATTTCTGTGTGAAAGAGGCTAAAATGCCATAAATTCTGTCACATATATTGAAATGGTGTCTACTGATGTTTTCCCAAATGTAGGGCTTTCTTACACTTAGACTAGTGAAATTACTTACTAACATGAAGAAAGGATATAATATGATAACATATAATGTAATATATAAAGAAAACAAAGCAACTCATTTTAGCAATATGTTCATTTATAATTTAACCTTGTTTCAAGCCTAGAAAACATATTTGATTTAGAAATGTGTTTCAGATGCAATCCACCAAACGTTAGTGGATCATTTTAATAGTTGAAGTAATGGACTACACCTGTGCTGAAACCCCTGAGTGAAGTTGAGGGGAACTGACTTCATACATCCACTAAAATCACTGAATCTCCAGCTGATTCAAGCACATTGAAAAAAAATGAAGAAAAGTATAGTTTGTTGTGAGAGACTCGCTGCAGTATCTGAGCACAGAACCAGACACTGATACTTTGACAGCTAGTCTTGTATGTATTTAATTATGACCTCAAGTTAAGTTAATTGTAAGTATGTGATACCATTGAAGGGGTCCTTATGCCCTTTTTACAAAATGTCTCAAGTGTCCCCAGAATGTGTTTGTGAAGTTTCAGCTCGCAGAACATTTATTATTCCTCGCTGTAAATGCCCGTTTGGGTGGAAGAAAAGACATGCTGGCTTTCGTCTGTCTTTTTAAATCCAAATGAGCTGCTGCCAGCCCTTACAAAAAATAACCATGGTTTTACTGTAGTAAAAGTGTAGTAACCTAAACTATGGTTAGTGTAGCAAGACCATGGTTAATTGTGGCTACCATGGTTTAACTACAATAACCATGTTTTTTTGTTTTATTTGTAGTGAAACCAAGAGGGCGGAGACTGTTCTTCAGATACAGTACTCCAGCAACAACAAACACATCATATCTGTCGTGCTTACACTCACGTGATGTTGCAGTTCTTCGTCATCTTGAACAGTTTACTCTTTGCATGCGTTTAAAAAGCCTTGTCAGTTTAAACTTCTGATATACAGTTTTCTGAGTACACAGAAATTCGGCTCTTTTGCATCAGCAGTCAAATACACACAAGGTTATGTCAAAAACACACAAATTTAACATAAACACAGTCGGTTATGTCTGTGAACAGCTGCATGTGTATTAGTATATTAGATCTGTGAAATGGCGAAAACATGCTACTAGCGCTACTCAACCAGGCCTCTCGCCCACTCTTAGTTTTTTGCATTTGCTTTGGGTGGGAATTATTTAAATGTGGGATACTGTGATGTGTATATTCCCAAAAGAAAACTCAGGAATACAGTTGAGACGTTTGAGGGAGTTCAGAAACAGTGCTTACCGATATAGAGAATGACTCCCTTTGGAGTGACTTTGTGCTTTTACTTTGCAGATCTTTTTCATGCATACACAGCAACATTACACACTAAAGGAAGTTGAAAATGTAGGGGGAAAAGCATAATAGGACCCCTTTAAACAATATATCCTGACAGATAATAAGCTGAAAAAAGACATTGATCATTACAGAAGGACATGTTGACACTGACCTGCTGAAATCCACTCGCTATTAAAAGCGTCGGCTTGAAGTGCAAATATCATACAAAGCGTATTTGCTTTCTGACCATAATGCCAGTCTCAGCGCTTGCTAATACTCACGCTGTCATACGACACGCTGTTATGTATTAGTTATTATATAATCACAACGAGAGACGCTCGGTGGCTTTATTATTATTTCCGTCCAGATGCTCTTGGTCACAGCTGGTCATAAATCTCCTGCTGGAACAAACAGTAATCCCGACGCTGTCCTTTGGCTTACTCACAGCTCCTGTAGGCATCGATTTCACACAGTTATCCATCGTTTTACTTACACAATTAGACACAATTAGTCACACAGTCATGCGGTTTGAACAGCTCATAATAATAAATCAATGATTTCTTGTGTTTTTAGGAGGATATGGAGCAGGACTGTCACCACAACAAGGTAAAAGCTCTTACAAACCCTTAAAAAATCACTGGAAGATGCAGCAGAATGAGGCTGAGCTCTAGTGGTTGAACTGACATGGTCTCCTTACCTCTGAACTACATGCATTCACTGAAGGAATGAATTAAAACTAAAGAAGAATCGCCAAGCTGCTAAATGAAAGTAAAACAAGTATCATAAAAGTGGTCCATACAGCTCAGGCACTATTTTCCAAACCCTCTGAACTCGTACGATAGCTTCGTGCATTCATGTCAAATATGGGGTGTCAACAGGAGAAATGCCTGTACATCAGTGCTGAAACTGTACAGATAATGCAAACTTTCTTGACGGTACGTGTGAATAAAGAGTAAGATTACCAGTGTTAGCACATCCAGCATTAAATTTATATTGATGCATTTGGCAGACTTTTTCTTAACCAGTTCAACTTGCGTTGCAATCAAGGTGCAGATTTCACCAGTTCTTCTTTAATGTGTATTTCACTTGTGCTTCTTTCCTCAGCCAAAGCAGCCAAATACGGAGGTGGACTGACGGGATTCCTGGGAGCAGGTTATCGAGGTACGAGAGTCTGCAGTGAACCGATGAGTCAGAATTAATCCTGCCGCCACATAATCACCGATTTCTCATAATCACTGCTCTCATTTCTGATGTCCTCAACTAAACGTCCTGATCCCAAATCACACCAAACACTGGCCTACTTCTTCTGAAGTTTGCCTTTACATGATTCGCTGAACATATGTGAGTTTATAAAGCGGATCCACACTGGTGGACGTCTTAAAGTAGTCGAGATGCCCTAGAGGATCATTCTGCTTTTTTCAATCAAAATTTGAATCAGTTCAAGAAATGATATCAATACATCGTTGTTTCACGTTTCAAGAGATAATTCACCCACGAATGAAAATTGTCATCATCGTCGCGCCGTTTCAAACCCACCTGTCTTTCATTCATTCAGAACCCAAATGAAGATGTTTGTACTGTAGTGTTTGGTGTGTGATGAGGTTTTGTCTGTGGTGTTGTTCTGCAGGTGGAGCCGGCTGCCAAGGAAAATACTGCGGGAGGAGAAGAAAGTAAAGGATCTCTTGAGATGTGAAGTGACCTCAAGAAACATGGTGCTACTGCATGCTCCAGAATGTACTTTTGATACTCAAACAAACAATCCCAACATGCACAAGTGTTATGTTTTGTACTGAAGGTAAATATTTGTTATGAATCCAAGTCCAGATCTCTGAAACGCCTAGTGTTTTGTGGAAATAATTCCAATCCTAATGGCACATTCCATCATGTTACTGGTTCCTATTATAACCGGGTTGATTAGCCGGCAATGCTGTTGTGTAGCTGTAAACGTTTTAACCACGACCTCTTATTTGTGGACGTTTCTGAGACCATCCGAAGCCCTTTTGCTCAGTTGCAGTCACGATCTCGCTCTCTAGACTCTTAAAGTAACACCATTTCTTGCCTGCACAACATCATCCAGCGTCCTCGCGACACATCGGTGGTGCAGGTTTAGAGTCCTGTCATAGCGTCATACTGCTGATTAAATACTTCACATCTGGCTGTGCTTCAGCTTAGGGGTTTGCCTGTTATTTTCACCCTTCAGCAGCTTTACGATTACAGTCCTTTATGGGTGACTCTCTCACACACAAATTATATTTTGCATGAAGAAACTTATGCCTGTTTTAGGTAGGCACACAGATTTTAGTTGCACACATTTTCCACCAAAATTCTAATGCATTTGGTGCTTTAATTATTTGTAATTATTAATTGTTCTCGGTGGCAATATCTTATTCTCATTACTGTAATACAGCGTGCTACAAAAAAAGTGTTTAATTTAAAATCAGTAAAACAAATACTTACATGATGTATTTTCATTTTCTTCATGAAAATATTATTTCTTTTAATTTAGCGATGAAATGTGGCCCGTGACATGTTCTTGACATGTTTTGTGAGATTCACCCCCTCTAGATGATTTAAGCTTTCATGAAGCATCAGAGTGTCTTCAGTTTGAATCTCATCTCCTGATTGGAGACGCTTTTGAAAGGGTGCTTTTGTAAACAGGCCGTAATAATAAGCGTGCAAATGCGTATTGCAGGCATAGAAACACACATTACGCTAAGAGAGCTTTGTGGATGGCAGAACGTCTGACAGCGACAGCGTGCGGCTCGATCGATCGCAGCATTCACTCTTGCACACTGTGTGAAGTATGAAGAGCTCTGCTCTGATAGTGCTGAGAACAAGCAGAAGTGAATGACAGCTTACGGCTAACATCGATCATCTGTTTTGGTATCTGTCCGGTGAAGGGAACAAACTGAAAGTAACTGTGTAAAATAGTAATCATAGTTCTGACTTGTACATTATGTATGTTTAAACCTGGAAGATTAAAAGATATGCTTATGTTTTTCCCTGGAACCGGGGACTACAGGTGCTTCCATCATTTGACCAAGAATGTGTTTCTTTAATCGCTGTGTATTCAACATAGAATTAGTTATATATATACACTTACAGTAGACTGGATCATTTAACAACATGTTACTTTGCTTTATGTTGTTTTGCACCATTTGAACTTGACATGTTGACCAATTATCGAGTTTGTACACATCATATGACAATAACTTCTTTGCTTTAAATAGCTTCTGAATTGTAGTCACTGTGGAACTTGCAAAACTGTGTGTGCTATTTTAAGATGTGTGTGTGTGTGTGTAGGTGATGTATGTAAATCCCCTCAACGTGTGTGTGTGTGTGTGTGTGTGTGTGTGTGTGTCTGTGTGTCCCAAGAGCCTCACTAGCCAATGTATTATCAAACATATAATGTGTCAGTTTTTGCTATACTTGGTTGATACTGTTTTTCGATCCATCTGGAGAGACACTTTATCATGCAGTAATGTACCTGGTGCTGTATTTGACCTGCCTGTGAGCCCTACCAGCTCTTCTCTATAGTGCCGTGGGATTTACATCTTATTTAAATAAAGGGGCGGGGCTGTTGCACTTTTCCACAACCTATATTCTGACTAGTTCCCGGAAATCCCGGCATTTTACCTGCTCTAGTGGAAAAAAATTAAATAAAATATTTGTAAAAACACACAAACTGCATTTCTTGCTGTGCATGATTGTGTAAAATGATAAACACACACTGTGAATGTTGCATCATGTCTAAAACCCCCTTAGCTGTTCTGAGATCACTGTAAACCACAGCTTCATGTGGATTATTGCTTTAATAAAACAGTTACCGCACATAGATTTCATAAAATAAACACAGCAACTGCATCTGAAGTAATGAGGTCACAGGCGTGTGTTTGCAGAGTATTTTACAACGGCGTCCAAAGAGGCCCAGGCAATCAAAATCAAGGGCCGGACCTTTTATAAAACAATTTACAGAATTATAGACCCAGCAGCCAGTGTATGAGTCATACATCCAATATTCTATATTCACAACAAACAAACAAACAAACTAAAAACATCTAAAAAACTGTATCCGTGACATCTCTAAACAGGTGCTGTATTCTTTCTATTAAGCCTAAACAACTCTGTTGTTTGTTCTTAAAAATATGACATTTTCCGAGATAAAAACTATTTTTACCTCCAAATAAAATCTATATTTTTATATATACATATGAAACGAAATGGATATTGTCATTATTGTCCTTTGAAAGTTATTTTATCAAATTTTATTTCCTTTTCTTTTAGTCGGCGTCACAAAGTGCTACCCTGCGTCCCAATGGTCACACTATCATCCTAAATAGTATGTGAGATTAGAATAAGTGTGTCCCAAAGCATAGTATGTTGAAAAGAGTATGCCAAAATAAGTCCCCGGATAGTCTACTATTTCAGGTCGATTTCTGAAGTGTGGATCCGTGCACGCTTTAAAGGCTAATATTGCCCACAATCCATTGCGCTTTGGTGAAGTATTTTGTCCAGAACTACAAACACGAATAAAACGCGTTAAAACTACAAACATGGCGGATGTGCGCGACCGGCGGTTAGGTAGAGAGGCTTAGAAAAAGGGGTTTGAGTTACTAATATTCAACATTTAACCTGGTAAAAATATTTATTTAATGTTATCTGTGTTATATTTCATCTGCAACAGCAATGTGAACTTTTATAAACATCAGTTCGGTCGTTAACTTTTAAATGCATCATTATGCATAGAATATGAGCAGAGTTCTCCGCATGAAAGACCCGCTACTGGCAGATCAACGAGCTACTGCTTTTCTCTCCAGTACAGTAAGAAGTTAAATGAAATGCAATGTGGAGGATGTGAACTGTGAGAAGATGATTGACAGGCACTCAGGCAGTGTACAGCGACAGTGTGCGTGTAACTATGCGACAGAGCGTCCGCTAAAGACGCAGCTGTATGACGTGTTAGTATGTCGCAAAGTTTGCCTACTCTTCTACTACACACTCAAAAGTGTGTACTTTTTCTTCACCAAGAGTACATACTTTAAGGGCGTAGTATAAGTAGGCACATTGAGACGCAGCACTAGGCTGCTGTAGTGTTGTTTGGCCCGTGTTCCTCGCGTCTGTCCAGCAGGAATCCTACTATAGCGAAGCTCTCCAGCGGACTCCCGCCCACTAACCGACTCCGAGCCTCAGCTAATCTGACAGCAGAGTAACGGGGCGTGTGTGATATTCATGAGGCGAGCCCTCGCCATACTAGGGCAGTGCCAGCGGCCGCATTTCTCCAGTGTGTCTGACGGCGCAAGGGTTTCTGCTGCGGCGCTCGCGGTCCGAGGCTTGAATGCGGTTGATGCTGCTGTGCTGCACCTGGAAGGACGAACGCATGGGAGAGGAGGAAGGTTAGTCTGTCTTCTGGATCGCGATGATAGAGTATGTGAATGATGCGCATCTTCATCAGAGGTCGTGAGGATGCTGCTTGATGTGCTGCTGCAGCAGCTCTCCCGCACTGTCCTGCTGCTGCAGTAGAAGCATGCACTCATTAGAGCTCAACTATAAACTGTCCCGTTCACTTCTGTTCATTTCTGTCTCGCTCACAGCGGCTGTGGGATTTCAAGGTCTGGGTTTGTTGATATTGGTTCTCAAACATACCATTATCATGTACCATTACCATGTTTATGGATGTGTACCATGGTTTTTAGCACATGATGCAGTATTAAATGTAGTATTAATATTTTCAAGATAAAAAAAAAAAAAAAAAAACTTGTTGAAACTTCAGTCTGTCCATCAAGGGTCTTATTGAAGACACCAGTAATCATTAAATCTATAAGTAGAAATTGTTGGTACCCGAAAATTCCAATGAAAGTCAACTTGGTGATTTTTGGAAATTAAATTTTTTTGTATTTTTAATTTTTTTGTAAAATGACAAAATTCTAAGTTATGGAACTTCATCGGCCAGCAAGTCTGGGAATGTACTATGGTTCAGTGATGCTATAGTTCTTACAAATATACCCGCTGACATGCTATTCCAAAGCACTCAGTGCTACTTTGTTACAGGTCCAGAGTGCCATGGAAGTGTTTTTGTTTATATTTTGCATATTTTATGTGATGTTATCCTGGAAAATGATGAATACTTCCTGTATTCATCTGTCCTCATGTGAGGTAAATGTGTGTGTTGTGTTACAGGGAACTGGGCTGAATGTGTGTGTGTGTGTGTGTGAGCAGGGGCGGATTTAGTGAATTGGGGGCCCCAGGCAAAATATAGGAATGGGGGCCTATACATGTGCACACATTTTCCTAGATCAGGG